CGTCCACTTGCACCCAAGTTCGAGTCCTCCTTCTCGGAGATTAGATTAATTTAGAGAATTTAGACTATATCTTGGAAAAAAAAATAATAGGTAAAAATGAAGCGGACATTTGTTGATTTCATGTTTAGCCACATGAGTTCCTTTGAAGGACCAATGAAAAACAAGTATCTTTCCCTTCTTTTGGCTGGTCACTCTCCTATAAATACATAATCGATGTGCTATGAAGATTTGGAGTACAAATAATTAAACCAAGAAGATGGAGTTGGAGGAGTTGGAAGGACTGGAGCCAGTGAGCCCAAATGGTCAGTACTTCAGTAGCGATGCATTATCTCTTTCGGTTCTTGCTGTTTTGGAATTTGAGATTCCAATCGATCTGGGGTATCAAACAATGTTTTTGCTTAAGAACGTCTTCCTCCCCATCAGCCCGCGTTTCTCCTCTATCATGGTGTGTTCTCCTTCATCTCTTTATTGCGATATAATATCTACCTTATTTGTTAAATATAAAACAAAAAATTGATTGAAGACACAAATTTATCATAATATTTTTGTACAATTACCACATAGGGCTGCTCGTTATGCCTTATTTTTCCCGGCATCATCTTCTTGATATAGGGAGTCTCCCGGCATCATTACTATATTTAATACGTACTTCTGACACTCACGTCATCATGACAAAGATACTATATTTAATACCATGTGAATTCGAAGTTCTATAATAGACAGTTGAAAACTTGAGCAATTGTTAATTTGGAAACAGGTTGAAAATAATGGAAAGAAAGAGTGGAAAAGGGTCGAAGTGAAGCTTGAAGACCACTTGCACATCCCTACTTTCCCTTCCAACTTGTCCCCCAAATCATATGACAAGTATATTGATGACTATTTGTCAAAGCTATCAACAGAAAGATTTCCACAAGGCAAACCGCTGTGGGAAGTTCATATTATCAACTACCCAACCAGCAATGCAGCTGGGAATATAATCTTCAAGTTTCACCATGCCCTAGGAGATGGCTACTCTCTCATGGGTGCCCTTATTTCCTCTCTACAAAGGGCTGATGACCCTTCTCTTCCCTTAAATTTTCCTTCACGGCAGCGATCCGAATCAAAGAGAGAAAATTTTGTGACTAAAACTTTCTCAGCTGTCTGCAACACCATTTCAGACTTTTGGTCGGCCAGTTTAAAGATCATGAAGGAAGATGATCTAACACCAATCAAGTCTGGTAATGATGCAATTGAGTTTCGGCCAAGTACTGTATCAACTATGACATTCTCTCTGGATCAAATCAAATCAATCAAGAACAAGCTTGGAATGGTAAGATTTATACTAGGATTTCGTCTGAGCAATGTCATATGCAATTTTATTCTCTCTTAAACTTCATTTCCTCAAGGTTTTTATTTTTTACTTTTGACACAAGCGATATTAATTAGGGGAGGGGAATTCGAATACAGGACTTCGGGTGCAAGAATAACTGCTCTTAACCACTTTAGCTACAAGCAAGGATGGAGCCATGTTTGGGCCTGACATGGCCTTGTTCCCCCAAAAATTTTCCCATATAAATTATAATATAATATATTTATGTTACGGTACGAATATATTAGAGAAAACACTATTTCACTCTTATGGCCCCTCCAATATATGCATGTGAATTTTGCTCTATTTTCTTGTTTTTGAGGAAATTTGGTATTTCATAATTTACTCCTGAGAATTCTTTAAGTATACTATTTATCCAACATCTCATACCCCACCAATATGAACAGAAGAACTATTTTCGATTATGGGATTGAGGGCTTGTTTAATATGGATGGATCTAGATCTACTTATTTATTCATTGTACATTTAATTTAGTTTTTCACTTACTATTACAGACTGTAAATGATGTTCTCACCGGGATGATCTTCTTTGGAACTCGGCTGTACATGCAAGAGATTAACCAAAGTTCAAGCAAAGCAGATTGTACATCAATTATGTTGATCAACACAAGGTTCATAGGGGATTATGTGCCGATTGAGGAGATGATGAAACCCAACAGCAAGACGCCATGGGGAAATCGTTTCACTTGGGTGCATATATCCGTACCCAAGTTAACTCAACTCTCAAATGCTCTGGACTTTATCTGGAACACACAAAAAATAATAAAGAAAAAGAGAAGCTCTTTAGCTGCTTATTTCTCGAGCAGGCTGTTGGAGATTCTGGACAAATTTGGAAGCCATGAGGTTAGTACTGTAGAGGAGACTATATGCTAGACCACTGGTCTGCACGTCAAGATGTTGGCAATGCTAGCTTGTCCCACTTAAGAAAAAAATTGGAAGCTCAAATTTAAATATGTATTTTTAATTTTATGTTAACATATCTCAGGCATCCAGCAGATACATTCATCATACAGTGAAGAACTCGAGCATGGTAATTTCAAATGTGATTGGACCTGTGGAAAAAATGTCTCTGGCTAATCATCCAATTAAAGGTTTATACTTTTTGATGGGTGGTATACCTCAGGTATGTCACACATTGTTATGAATCATTAAATCAATCTAACTCTAGATAATTTTTCAAAATACAAACATTGACCATATATTTATTTCTTCTTAGAAATAAGCGGTTAAAAAAATTGTAAGGAAATATTCTAGCTGCAGACAACTTTAGTGTCGAAAAACTTATGGTTCTGTCTGAAATACAATCCTAGTAAAACTTAAGGAAATGTTCTAGACGCCCTTTCGCGCAGGCGAGAGGTTTTTCCATATGGAATTTGTCAACTAATGTAACATGACTGGCTTGTGGATTTGCAGGGCTTTCAGATAACCATTGTTAGTTACATGGGAAAGGTGAGGCTAGCCTTCAAAATGGAAACAGGTCTCATAGATCCACAGAAGTTCAAGTCATGCATGCAAAATGCCTTGGAAATGATACTCAAAGACTCCGATCTGATGCGGAACGATTAAGATGCTGCATATGTCGAAGTTCCACCACTTTTTAAAACAAAAGACTTTATCTTCTAGCATTTTTTCTTTTTAAAAAAAATTTCTTAAAAAATATGCCAATTAATTTTGCTAGAATAAGAGTGATGCTAAGAAGAGGAAAAGGAAGATGGAGACATCACTTTTGTTGTAAAGAATGTGGTGGAGTCCACATAAAGAAAATAATAAAATAATAATATTCAAAAAGCTTAATGATGATGTTGGATAATGAAGTCCACGGGATGCCATCCAATTTGCCTATAAATAGGCTTCCCATTGCTTAGCAAAACACACCAACAGAGAAGAGAGGAAAGAAAGGAAGAGAAGAAAGAAAGAGTGAGAGGAAAGAAGAGAGAGTGTGAAATCTGAGTGTTAGTGAGTTCTATCTAAGGGAATTCTGTCAGTATAAACACTAGATGAGCAAATATAATTATACTCCAAATATTTAGTGGTATTTTTCATACTCTGATTATTTTATTTTTATAACACGTTATCAACACGATAATCTCTCCCCTTTACTTCTAAATTTTCCCAACTCAACACTATGTGGTTATTTCTCTGTCTCCTCTCTGTCGTATATCTCCTCTCACTTTACTACTACGACGACATGCAAACTTTCTTTTTTGTATTCTCAAAATTTTTACGTTGCTTCATCCATATTTGTTTAATTTATTTTTTCATACTATAATTTGGAATGGTGCGGTTTTATACCCCATCTTGTTATTTTATGGTTGTGTAATTTTCATTGCCCATCGCGTTGTAACACATATTATCGTAATAAAAATGATGGTGTGATCTTAAAACCCATCTTATTATATCTTGAATAGTGGCGCAGTTATATTGCCCACAATATATAATATGTTATATATTTCATATATATTAGGTGGTGGCTTTATCCCCGCATTTACTTTATTTATCATATGGTGTATGTTTATTACCCATACAGCAATATTTATTTAAAAGTGTGGCGCGGGTTTATCGTCTACACAACTGTCTTTAGCATTTACTTTATTTACTGCATGGTGTATTTTTATTACTCATGTAGCAGTATTTATTACTCATACAACAGTATTTATTTAAAAGTGTGGCGCGGGTTTATCGTCCACACAACTGCCTTTACTTTTTATTTAAAAGTATGGAGTAGAATTAGTGCCCATACCAGCACATTTTCTTTATCGCACATTTACTTTTATTTAAAGTATGATGCGGCATAATTAACGTCCATACAGCAAGCAATTTACTTTATAAATTTACTTTATCACACGTTTACTTTTATTTAAAGTATGGTGCGGGTTTCCATCCATCCAAACAAATTTATATTTAATATATATTTTTTTTTTTTTTTTTATTTTTTTTTACTTAAAAGTGTGGCGTGGGTTTATCGTCCACATAACTATATTTACTTTTTATTTAAAAGTATGGAGTAGAATTAGTGCCCATATCAGCACATGTACTTTATTGCACATTTACTTTTATTTAAAGTATGGTGCGGAATTAACGTCCATACAACAAGCAATTTACTTTATGAATTTACTTTATCATACGAAGTGGCTCGTCGAATCGTGAATGTGCATGAGGTTGCGGGTTCGTCCAGTGGTGAATCGTTCCAGGGGGTGCACACCCGGGTTTGGAAAAGAATCTGGCAGATGAGAGTGCCCCCCAAGGTTCGGATGCTAGTCTGGAGAGCCCTGATGAATATTTTTCCCACGCAGCAAAATCTGGCGCAACGACGTGTTCATGCGGCTTCTGGGGGTTGTGTGTTCTGTGGTGAGTTGGAAACGGTTGGGCATGCTCTGGTTTGGTGCTCTACAGCCCAACGTTTTTGGCCCCTCTTTCCCTTTCCTATTTCTGGTCATGCTTCTGTGACGGGTGACATCAAGGAGTGGTTCCAAGTCTTGGCGGCTGACAGGTCTAGTTCCCAGCCTGAACAGATCATGATGGGTCTCTGGTCTGTGTGGCATACGCGCAACTTGCGGGTTTGGAATGGGCAAGGGCGAAGTCCGGAGGAATCGCTCAACTGTGCTATGTGTACATTGCATGATTTTCAGGCCAATAATGGTCTGCCCCGACCTGGTGTGCTGCGAGCGAAAGTCCATTGGCAACGCCCTCCGATGGGTACCATTAAGATAAACATGGATGGGGCTTTTCGAGCGGCTGGAGGTTTGAGTGGCTTTGGCCTGGTGGCTCGTGATCACAATGGCAGTTTTTTGGGATGCAAGATGGGTCGGTTTCATGGGGTGTCGAGTCCTTTGCATGCTGAGCTGCTGGCGTTGCGGGAGGGTCTGCGGTTTACGGCAAAGTGGCCAGATATTTGCATCTGTCTTGAGAGTGATGCACAGGGGATGATCAATACTGTTCTTAGTCGTGGAGTGGATCTCTCTCCCCTTGGCTGCTTGATTGAAGATTTTCAAGAGCTTTTGCATGCTGCAGGACGTGTTTCTGTTGTGCATGGTTTTCGTGAAGTTAATGGTGTGGCTGACCGCCTAGCTCACTATGTGCTATCATCCCATGTATCTGATGCTGAGGTCGAATGGTGGGATTCCCCCTGTTTGGCTCTCTGATACGCTTATCTACGATTCCAGTTGAGTTCTAAGTTGTTGTTTTATTGGCGTGCGTGGTACTCTTTCCTACCCCGGGGTTTTATGCTTTTGGGTTTTCCCCGGGAAGGTTTTAACGAGGCCACTCATGACATGCCCTGTTCTATGTAAGCTCCTTCTAATTGAATACAAATTGATTCTCTCTCAAAAAAAAAAAAAAAAAAAAAAAAAATATGATGCGAGTTTATCGTCCATACCAGCAAATTTTATTAGAGCACTTTAATTTTATCATTAATTAATATACATGAATAATGAGGGCTTGAAGTTCCTCAAACAATTATAGGGCTTGAGATTCCTATTAATAAATGGCTTAATGTCCCAGATCCCGAGCTTGAAGTTTCAGGTAAAATATGCAAGATATTTTTGGCCTGAAGTTTAAAAATATATTAAGCCTGAAGATTATTGCAAATTCTAATGCATCTCATTTTCTTTGAAGATGGAAAACTTGGCAAAACTAGAATTTGATGCCTTGGACATTTCTGGGGATAGCTATCTGTCATGGGTCATGGATGCCAAGATCCATTTGTGTGCCAATGGCCTTAGAAAAACAATTGTAGACGGAAGTGATGCATCACCTGAGGAAAACGCAAAGGCTGTGATTTTTCTTCGCCGTCACATCCATGTGTTTGGGCCTAATTTGGCACACCCAGTCCAAAATAAAAAAAGCCCATGTCAATTTTTGGCAGTCATCGGAGTTCTCCTTATGTTTGGCCAACGCTCTGCACGACAGCCCATTTTTACCAAAAGCCCACAAAACAGAAAACAAAAGAATGGGCCTTGATTCCAGAAAAGCAACCCAAACCAAACAAAAGAGGCACATGTCTTTTACAAAGTGGCAGAGGTGTAAAAGACACAAAGTAAGTCAATGAAATTTCAAATTAAATGGCAATTTATCACTAAAATAAGTCGATGAAATTCTAAAAAGAATTGGATTGGACCCAGCTTCTAAAAAATCTCACCATTGATCTCAATCCTAGAGTGCAAAGTTAGCAGACTTTAAAAAAGTCTATTCACAAAGAAACCCACGTGACTACCTGACTTTGAAAAGTCAAAAATTTCAACTAGAGTTGATGGGGAATTAATGAAGGCATGTCTTGAACAAGAAAATTTCTCCAGTCTTTACAGTCAAGGAAGAAGATCAAAGTCCCTTTCTATATACAAAGAAAAGTCTGCTTCAGAGCAAGTATCATTTCCAAGGGATAAGCAGACTAAATTTTCTAAAGAGATAAGTACGGAACAAGGAGTTGTTCATAGGAAAAGCAAACTAATCATCACGACAGATTGAATTCTTACAAAGAGCAGTTAAAAGTTAAAAAGGGATTAGGTTTTTTCTTTCAAGAACAGAGAAGTGACCACCACAAGAACTGACTGTTGATGGCCCTTTTGACAGAATAGATAAAATTCCCCTTTCTTTGACATTTAAAATAAAAGATCTCATTTTTAGAAAATCTGCCGTCCATTATTAAAGGATTAGAAAACCCATTTCAAACACTTTTCTATAAATATGAGAGGAGGTGAACAGATCAAAGACAACCAAAAAACCAATAAAAAACAAAAACTCAAAATGATCACTTGATCTCAAAAGTCTTTGAAACACTGAAGCAACCAAAGCTCATTGAGCCACAAGGAACAAGTCAACTATAAATTCAGAATCTGTAACTTCAGTTTAGTTCAGAGAAATAGTCATACAAAGTGAGATTTCTCTTGTTACAAATTTGGTTCAGTATAAGTCAAATCAAGCAGAATCCGAGTTTTTACAAATATGAAAACCTCAACAAATTTATGGAGAGCCCTGATGAAGCAAAACAGGTACTATAGCGTAGTTCCATCTCAGTAATCATCAAATCCAGCTACTTCTGCCCCTTCCAAACTGAAGAGGTTCCAATTCTGCCCGTTCAAAAAGACTTCCAATGCTTGAAATAAATTGAAGCTTTGCCAAACTTGAATGTTGGTATCGATTTACAACTAAAACTTGACAATTGAAGGTGTTGATAGTCCAATCCAGCATAGACATACCCAGTCCAGCCCGGATCAGAGGCATCTATCTAGGCAGAAATTGAAGTCCAACGCTCTTTTTGTCTTTTTTAGAGTTGGTCTTTTCTTTCTGAGCTTTGTAAAATGTAGTTCTGCCTGAAAACAGTTCACTTTCTTATCATTCATTTTGGCAAGAACTACCAGTCCTGTATTGTGAAAAATTGTGAAGTCCTCACCAGTCTGAGGCAAGAAAAGAACTTACTTGGGAGATATTCCTCACCCAAATTCACAATCGCTTGTTTAGAAATTAGTAACTTGGGGCTCAAGTTATCCACTTTTAAAGAAGTCTGCTGGGGTTTTTATTGCTAGTAGTAGCACGCTCATACATAAAAGAAAGTTGACTTGTTGACCACAAATGGTTTTCAAGACAATGGGGAACTTTACCCTACCATCATAGGAACAAATCTAAAACGGGTGAACACCATGAAGAGCTGGAAAGTGAATATGTGGTGGTCGATGAACCATTGGTTCTGTGGAAACCTTATGCGAAAGATGCAATCACTAGAAGACGGTGACCCTCCCAAGAGCCAGATATGAATGGACACACCTGAAATTCTAAGATTTCAAGTCAGTGTCTGAGTACAACTCAGCAATGCACAGAATCACCTCCCTGATGAAATTATGTGATGAAAATATCTCTAAGAAGGATATGCTTGAGAAAACTATGAGTACCTTTCATGCCTCAAATGTGCCCCTACAGCAGCAATATAGGCATAGTGGTTTTACGAAGTACTCAGAACTGGTATCTTGCCTTTGTTTGTGCCTAATAAATCACGGTCATAGACTGATTGAAGGGACTTCCTCTTGGTCCTGGCGCCTACCGTTTCGTTAGGCATTTCACCTTCCTAAAAACAAAAGAAAAGCTCCAAAGGCAGAATCCTCTCGGCCTTGCGACCGCAGTATTGAAGGTCGAAGCCGAAGGCCGTAAAAGACACAGCCGAAGAAACTGTGGTTAAATCGCCACGTGGCCTCACGGTCCCACGCCCCATTTAATGAAGTAATGCCTCTGACTTTCGCAGCAAACCCACTAGTCGCAAGAAGCATTTAATACACAAGGGAAGAAGGGAAGTGACTAAAGTCAGGATTTGGTGATGGAAATCAGGGTGGTTAGGCGCAGACATTCTCACAAGTAATCTTACGACTTGAGGTCAGATCACCAACCACCAGACTAGGGCATTAAATGCGTTCCCACGGCCAATGGGGCAGAACCCACGATCAGGGCTGTGGCCGAGATTTATCGGGATTTATGGGAGTCACACCACCATGCTTCACGATCCCAAATGCCGATTTGACTACCCACTTGCCCCGATCAGGCTCCACCACGCAGGTCTTTTCAGCCTCGATTGTCCCTCCAGGACTCCTCCTATAAATACTAAGCTCATGACTACATTCAAAGGGTTCAAACACCAAACCAAAAGCCTCCCACGGAGCAAATTATATTTTCCTGTAATGCACTTTCAATACCTTTATTTGCTTTCCTAGGAGTAGTGGTAGATTGTAAGGAAAATCCATATCATACGACCCTTGATTTTCAAGGCGCCGGAGCACCATCTCTGATATCATCTCATTCACCCCATATATCATACGACCGTCACTCTTCGAGCAACGCGCTGGAGCACTGCCTAAAACCCACCACCAACACCGCCACTAAAACGGCCTTGTAGCTCAGGCCGTGAACCTGACGGCCGAGATCAATTCCTATTTCGGCCACAATTGTTTCATTAGGAGTCGAACGCAAAACAGGCGCATCATTTGACCATCTTCTACCCAAACCTCATCACCATCTCGACGCACGGTAGACCGTGTTGGCACGCCCGCACACAACCGCACCGCACCCAAAAGAAGGACGTCACGTGTTGATGCACATCCCCTCGGCTCGAAGCACCAGGCTGCGAGATTCGCAACAGTGAACACCTTTGGCACGCCCGGTGGGACTTGTTGTCAAAAATTCATGGTGGAAACTAGGGCACAGGCAAAGCTCAAAAACAAAACAGTCAAAATGAGTTTCGAGGCTCCTGAGTCCACCTCACTAATCACTATCACCGAGACTGAACACGCGGTCAGAATCTCGGCCAGCGGTCTAATAACGACGGATCGTGCGACCGAGTCCATGGGAGGGCAAGCAGTAATGGAGGATCTGATGGCGAAGCAGGCCTACAAGATAGAAACATCCTTTATGGCCGCAATGGATAAATTCTCCTCAAAGCTACGGATGTTCTTTCAGGAGAGGATGCCGGTAACGTCATCCGCAACACCTCCAAGAGCCGGATAGAGAAGCTAAGAGCGCGAGAGGTTTGAGCCCTACGGCGAAAGCAGCAGCCTCGGTGTCTTTGGCTGCACCTAAGCGTCGGGCTGCGGCCAGCATTCTCAGTTGCCGACAAACAGCTGGGTGCAATCCCAGCCAACATGGGTAAATCCCGGACCGACCTGCCCAGCAGAAATGGCGTACGGCCCACTCCATGCTTTGGCCGTGTCACTGGGGCAGAGCAGCCCCACGCATTTCGCAGTCCAGCAACTTGGCCTAGTTCACACCGTGGCCGTCCAGACCCATCCCGGCCCAAGCAACGCGACCGCTGCCTCGTCACAGCAATACGGTCAGAGCAATCCGACCGTTTCACCATTACATACGTCGTTATTGCCGTCAGGCTCCCATCTTCAGTACGGTTAGGCCATTCCAACAGCAACACATACGCACCCTGGTCAAACCTACGGTGCTTATCTAGTGCCGCCTAGCTCGGTCGCAACGGCCGAACCCCCCGTTCAAGTGGCCCAGCAGGTAAGGCCGCAAAACTAGGGGTAACAAGTTCCACGGCCAGTCACGGCCCAGCAAGAAGTGCCCCCTCAGGGGCTCCGATTTGAAGACGTTCGACGAATGATCGAAGATGGCCTGGCTCAGAGGCGCCCAGAAGCGCCAAGGTATACCAAACCGTACCCGCCAGAAATTGACCGCACCCTTCTTACCCGGAACTACCGATTGCCAGAATTCATTCTATTCTCCGGGATGGGCAGACCTCCTCCATTAAACACATAGGACGCTTCACGGCCCAGTGTGAAGAGGTTGATTCGGACGCCCAGAGGCTCCGTTTATTCGTTCACTCTCTGACTGGCGCGGCGTTCTCATGGTTCATAAACCTTCCACCAAATTCGGTGAGGGATTGGTCTGACATGGAAAGGATATTCCACGAACATTTCTATTAGACCAACCGAGAAATAACGATTGCCGAGTTGGGAAGGATGAGCTAGGCGTCAGACGAATCACCTCGCGACTACCTGCAGTGGTTCAAAACGTGTAGGAACTGGTGCCGCATGAACCTACCAGAGAGGGAATTTGTCAAGATGGCCGAAGAAGGATTGGATTTCGAATACCGGAAGAAATTCCAAGGAATTGAATTCCGGGACATGCACAACTTGATCAACAAGGTGGACCGATACGCATCCTTGTTGAAAGAAGAGGTGTAGAAGAGGACGGCTTCAAAAGGGACTTACTATCGGAATCTCGTTGTCAGCTATGCCGAAGCAGACTGCCCCACAGAGGCCGAGAGCGACGAAGTTGAGATGAGCTCAGTCGAAGTCAGCATAGACAAGCCATTCGTCTGCAAAGATTCGGTCGACAATAATCGCACAAAGATTCCCGACGCAAAGTTCGCGACTCGAGAAACGAAGGCCTACACTTTTGACTTGACCAGGGCCGAAGCTATCTTTGACCTACTGCTAACCGAGAAAAAGGTCAAATTGTCCTTCGGCCATAAAATTCCGAAACCCGAAGAGCTCAAAGGAAAGACGTTATGCAAATACCACAATTCTTGGTCTCACAACACCAACAACTGCGTTGTTCTACGAGACGTCATCCAGAAGTTGATAGATGAAAAGAAGCTCCAATTCCCGGAAAAGACGGCCATGCAAGTCGACTGTAAGCCGTTCCCTCCACCTGTCATCAACATGGTCAACGCTCAGCTCCGAGCCGAATATAGGGAAGTTCGTCGGTCTGCAAAAGGAAAGGAGCCGTTGGCCGAACCAGAGCCGGTACCGTGTAGTCGGTGCAAGTATGAGATCGGTCAACTCAGACTGCCAGAGAACAAAAGGAAGGCCGCCGAGCCATCTCAACCGACTATGAAGAAATTCGGCGGCCAGTACGACCGTCGGCCAGCAAGAAGAGTTGTTTTCGACGGACTAGGGGCACGAAGCCCCAGTACCTCGGCGGGCCATAAAAACGAAGCCGCTCTTAGGCCGGTGAAGACTTTCAAACCACCGGTCGTACGAGATGACCGTTGGTATCATGCACGACCTAGGGGCAGCACTGAACCGCTGACAAAAACTCAGCTGAGAAGGATGCAGAGACAAGTTCAGCAGGCTAGGATACAGACGGCCCAAGTCGAGGGATTAAAACGCCAAAAAAAGATGGCGACTGCAGACGAGCCACCATTCTCGCCAATTGTTCCCCCTACAGCGAAGGCTGCCAACATCAAGCCTCCAAGGACGTGGCGCCCTAGGCCGGACGGTTATCCCTGTGGAATGACGGCCGTTTCGATCTAGCCAAAGGTCGTAGCCCTGGAGGAAACGGATGGATGAGGGTATCATCGACGTCTACCACGGAAAGGACCCCCCTTTTTCGGCCAACAGTTTGTCCTTTCTCATGGAATTCCATAAGGACCACTCGGCGATCGACCTATACGGCATGACCCCTGAAAACCGTGAAATCGTGGAGTTGGCTCTCAAAAACGCTAAGGCAGAGAGTCTCCTCATTACCAGCGGATCCAACTCGGCCATTAAGGCCGTGTACCATGCAAACCGAGAGGCCAGGGCAAGAGGGATGCCAGGTTACCAACCCGAGCAGGGAAGATTGGAGGCCAAGGCCCCTTTTAGTGGAAGCAATTTAGAATACCTTCGCCGATATTTTACTGTGACTCCGGCCGACACTATCTTCGGTCTGACGACAGAGGAAAGGGCCCGGGTAAGCTGTCTGGACAATTACTAGGCGGCCAGGGATGCGTTAGCTAAGGCTAGACAAGCCCTCGAGGAGAAGGTCGAGGCCTCGGACCCCCCTAAGATCAAAGCGACCACAGACAATACCCCCAGGACTGCAAGGCCTATGGTCGAGGGCCCCGGCGACCTTTTCTTTGGTCATGAGGCCGAGGACGACTCCACGTTGGGAATCTCCGATGAGGAATACGAGGGGATCCTCGGGATGGTTGAGGAAAAAACCCTCACCAGTGGCAGCTGTGAGGTCAACAAGGAAGCTGGTGGGGGAAACCAGCAGGAGCCAAAGGAGGTCAGCATGAACATGGTTTTAGTGCTACTGTCCGAGTTTTCAGCCCCAAGAGGCCAGACCAACGGCCTGGATAATGACGTGGCTGAAGAGCAGCTTGATCAAAGGCCAAAAACAAAGGAAGAATTGTTGGCCGTGGCTTTTAACAAGGTAATACCTAGAGACGAGCCAAACAAATACCGACACCTCAAGCCGTTGTACATCTCGACTCATGTAGAGGGTGTGCCCGTGTCCAAGGTCTTCGTTGACTATGGGGCGACGGTCAACATCCTTCCATATTCCCTAATGAAGAAGCTGGATAAGTCAAAAGAGGACCTCATCCCCAGCGACGTGGTCATGAGTAGCTTTGTCGGCGATAAATCTAAGACCATCGGGGTATTGCCGTTAAAAATCACCGTGGCCGACCGGACAAGAGTCGTGGCCTTCTACGTAGTCGAATCCAGCATGGACTATAATATATTGCTCGGTCGTGACTGGATCCATCAGTCCGGATGCATACCGTCCTCCCTCTTCCAACTGTTGTTCTTCTGGGACGGCCAGAGGGTATCCATACACCCGGTCGATAAAAAACCCTTCGAAACCAACACCGTGCAAGCACGGATTTACGACGACGACGACGTTGGATGGGTTGTCCTCACCGGCCACGATGCAAGGGGCCGACCAACCAGGACAACGACCCAAAAAGTGCTGGAGTTAGGCGCCGAGAATGTTCGACAGGATTCGACGCGCGAAGTATAGATCGACTTCACTGGCCTTTAGATGATAGACAAAGCCATTAAAGAGGAGGGAGCGGCGGCCGTGACCGACCTGCTGGAAAGACTGCTGGAACATTGGGCAGAGGAATCCTTACAGCCAAACTCGCTGATCAACCTAATCGAATTCCTCCACAAATCAGATGAGGCGGACACTTTAGCCTTTGATGACTTGGGAACGGCGCCCGCCGAGATGGAGGATGACTACCCTGAGGTCCAGCACCCGTTATTAGAAATAAATGTAAGGACCGAGCCCGAACCACGGCCTCTTTTTGTAAGCCAGCTTTTGAGCCTTAAATTAGCAGCCGAGATTATCGGCCTGCTCCATGAATATAAGGATTGTTTTGCTTGGAATTATCATGAGATGCCTGGATTGCCAAGAAGTTTTGGCCGAGCATGAGCTAAAGATTAGGGAGGGGTTTAGGCCTTTCCAACAGTCGCCGAGGCGATTCTCGACCGAAGTACAGCTTAAGGTCAAAGAGGAAATTGAACGGCTCCTTCAAGCCGGCTTCATCCGCACGGCTCGGTACATTGAGTGGTTGGCTAACATTGTACCAGTTTTGAGGGTTTGCACCGACTACAGAAATCTAAACCTCGCGACCCCAAGGACGAGTATCCCATGCCTATGTCCGACCTCCTGGTGGACGGAGCCGCAAAGCACGACCTCCTATCTTTCAGGGACGGCCACGCTGGTTACAACCAGATCTTTATAGCCGAGGAAGATGTCCACAAGACGGCGTTCAGATCTTTTTTCCAGGCGCAATCGGGACTTATGAATGGGTAGTCACGCCATTCGGCCTGAATAACGCCGGCGCAACATACCAACGAGCTATGAACCTTATTTTCCACGACCTCATTGGCCGAACCGTTGAAGTCTACATCGACGACGTTGTTGTAAAATCCCCATCCAAAGCTGACCACGTGGGGCATCTCCGACAGGCTTTCAATCGCATGCGGGCACACGACCTAAAGATGAACCCTAAGAAATGTGCTTTCGGCGTCACCGCCGGAAAATTTCTCGGTTTCTTGGTTCACCAACGAGGGATCGAGGTAGATAAAAATAAAGCCACGGCCATTATGGCAGCACCTCCGCTAAGGACCAAGAAGGAACTCCAGTCCTTCCTCGGTAAGGTCAACTTTTTAAGACGGTTCATATCCATTTTGGCAGGAAAAATCCGGCCGTTGACTCCTCTGCTCAAACTGAAAGACACTGAACAGTTCGTGTGGGGGGCAGAACATCAAGCGGCCCTCGACAACATCAAGCAATATTTATCTCAACCACCGGTCCTTATGCCGCCGAAAAGAGGGAAATCCTTGAGGCTTTACATTTCGGCTTCAGAAGGCTCTATCGGTTGTCTGCTGGCTCAGAACAACGAGTCTGAGTAAGAACAAGCAGTGCACTATCTGAGCCGCACCCTTAACATGGCCGAGCTAAACTATTCACCGATCGAGAAATTATGCTTGGCACTTTATTTCGCGGCCACCAAGTTGTGCCATTATATGCTTCCTTCGGTCTTTCAGATCATCTCCAAGACCGACCTCATCAAATACATGCTCACTCGGCCAATCATACGTGGTCAGATCAGGAAGTGGACGATGACATTGTCCGAATTCACCTTCCAGTATGTGGCTCAGAAGTCGGTCAAAGGTCAGGCATTGGCCGTTTTCTTGGCCCACCACCCGGCTCAGGGGCAAGAAGAAGAGTTGGAGGTCGAGATCGGCATGGCCCTCATGGAGAAGAACTACTGGACCATGTACTTCGATGGCTCTAGTACCGAGACTAGATCTGGGGCCGGGGTCGTGATCGAGTCCCCCCAAGGACAAATGTGGCAATTTGCGTTCCAGCTTGATTTTAAATGCACCAATAATCAGGCTGAATATGAAGCACTCATCATCGGTCTTGAAATTCTAAAAGAAATGAAGGCGACCCGTGTCCTGGTTTACGGTGATTCTCAGCTGGTGATTAACCAGCTGACCAGGGAATACCAGTGCACGAGCGAGAATTTAACCATGTATTATGTAACGGCCCTCAATACGGCCGACGAATTTTCTAGGATCTCCTTCGTTCACGTGCCGCGCGCCGAAAACCATGAGGCCAATGAGATGGCCTAGGTAGCGTCAGGTGTGAACATTCCGGACAGCGACCACGACCGCGTGATAAGAATCGAAAAGCGTATCCTGCCGGGTTTGGCCGAGCGAGGAATGACGACGCAAGTATCATCAGCCGAAATTACCGGCGAGGCCGAAGCCGACTGGCGCTACCCCATAGTAAAGTATCTGCGCGATCTCTCCGGCAACCATGAAAGGACTACTCATTTCCGAGCTCGGTGTTATTTGATTTATTACTCCTATGCCCCAGCGCCGAAGATATTAAGGTTATCATGGGCGAATCCCACAAAGGGATTTGCTGCCCATGCCTCATGCCACTCATGCTGAGCTGAAAAACCATCTGTAAGCATACCAAAACTATCTGCAAGTCACTATTATTCTCATTGGTGAAGATTATCCAAAATATCTCCTAAGGTTTCGCTGCCCTTTCGAGGTATTTTCGAACCTAAACAAAAAGGGGCAATCTCCTCAATCCGCCTTTTGCAGCAGCCCAGCCCGTTAGCTGCAGGAAGAAAAAGTCCCCTACATAAATTGGCGACTCTGCTGGGGATTAAGCCATTATCTTCATCAATGCCTCCAAGAAAGAAGACCAGAAGCAACAACATAACTTCCCAGGATGGGCCAAGCCATGCTGACTCAGAGTCAAGGCAACATGCCTCTTCTAGAGAAGAAGAACGTGCAAGTGAGGGAACTTTTACCCTCACAGATCTTGTTGCAGCCATTCGTGCTATGGGTGAGACCCAAAGGGAGATGGCAGAGATGATAAAAGAACTCAAAAATTCGGCTCCAAAGCCAAGTGAAGTGAATGAGAAGCACCCACAAGAGGAATCTGCTGCTGCCGGAAAGGAGTCTGAGCAGAAGGGACCATCTTTTGTCACTCAGGAGGACGTTGTTGCCATGCTGGAAAAGGAGCTGAGCCGAAGTCAGGAAGATTGGAAGTATCTTCCTCAGCCGCCGTATCCGTCAAGCTTACTCCAGCAGCCATATCCTAAAGGCTATGAAGCACCGACCTTTGTCCTCTTTGATGGACGAAAGGGGAGCCCGAAGGAGCATGTCAATCGCTTCATTGATGCCTTGGGACCGTATGCTGGTGATCATAATCTTCGACTTAGAGAATTTTCAAAGAGTCTCACCGATCGTGCTTACACATGGTATACAACGTTGGCACCAAGCTCTATTCATTCTTGGGAAAGTCTGGCAAGCAGGTTCTGTAAGAAGTATTTCCAGCATGAAGAACGAGTCACCACCACTCAACTCAACAACACTTGTACGCAGGTTCCGGGACCTGGCATTGGATTGCTATGATGAGAAAGACGAGGAGGCGCTTGTTGAAATTTGCATCAGCAATATCGTGGCAGATTATAGAGTGTATTTGGAGAATATTGGCATTAGTCAATTTTCTTGGCTGCTGGAAGCTGTGAGGAAGACGAGCATGTCTGTCAAGCCACCAGGACAAAGGACTTGGAGGAATGAGAAGAAGGAAGTGCATCAGACATTAGCAATAGATGACAAGCCATCCAACGACTACAATTCACGCAAACGGAAGGATAGAGAGACGTATCCACCACTACCATGCAAAGATGAAGAATTTCATGATATCCTTGACACAATGATTGCTGATGGCATAATCAAACCTGTCACACCCTACAAGGTGCCTACTCGAGAGGAAAAGAATGATCCTAGGTACTGCCGTTATCATCAATTTGTGGGGCATGCAACCACTGCCTGTCAGAGTCTGAGGAGGATTTTACACGCCAAAATACATGAGGGAGTCCTTGAACTTCCCTCTAGGAAGCAAACGATTGATGAGGACCCCTTGCCAAAATGAAGGGGAAAGGAGGTAGCCGCTGTCATTACATGTTCTGATGATTTGCTTGATGATGATGAATTGTGCCACCCTTGGAGGAATAACCCAAAGCCGCCGGAAGCCATATGGGAACCTTGCGGAAACATGGAAAAGGCATATTGGTGTAAATATTCGAGGCCTTCAAGTTACAACACACCATGGCCACTCGTTGATGGATGGGGTGACAACTCAGGCAGCGAAATTTTTGTTTTGGACATGCCAGAAGAACGCTACTCGGGGGCTTTATCGGAGCAGCAGGAAGCAGCTGCCGTGACATTTCATAATATCACGGAAGCTGAAACAAGTGTGATGGAACGTTATTTAAGCATGAAACAGGGGCCCACAGCTTCACAGGTCCTTCAAAGAAACCCAAAGTTCAAATCACTCTTTGACCAACTTGGCTTCGGGCCTCAAGCAAGAGAAGCAGCTGCTGTAGCCTGATGAATATCTCTGAGGAGTCTAATTCTCAATGCTTTACAACTCAACCACAAGGGTCATTCTTGGGAAATGACAATGCTATTGTCTTTACGGACGAAGACATGGAAGTTCCATACCCGGACCATAGGAGGCCGCTTTACTTGGAGGGACAGATCAATGATGTGTTCATAAGGAGAGCTTTGGTAGACACGGGTTCCTCTGTCAACATATTACCTCTGTCTGTGCTTACGGCAGCTGGTATCCCATTGTCCAAAATTGTCCAATCACAAACAAACATCAGTGGTTTCGGGAATAAGAGTGAGGTCACAGTCGGGCATCTACAAGTACATTTGAAGGTTGGGCCAATTCGGTCACTTACTAAGTTCTATGTTGTGGATGTGGATGTGGCTTACCATGCTTTGCTCGGAAGGCCATGGCTCAACAAGCATAAGCTTGTGGTCTCTACCTATCATCAATGCGTAAAAGGAAGGATTGGGCTGAGGCCGCTGCGCATACCTGGAAACCAAGCACCTTTCAACAAAGATGAAGCTCACTACTTTGAGGCGGAATTCTACACTGAATGCACAGGTGCTGGAAGCAATCCATCCAAGGATTTCGGGACCTACCTTCCTTCGTGGACTGAAATTCGTGATTTAAGCAATGAGGAGCTCATCACCATTGTTGATCGAGAGAGAAAGAGGCACTCGGAAGTCAACAACCATCCCTATGATCATCCCCAATGCTCAAAGGTGACGCTGCCCGATGGACGTATCGTGTACCGCTTATGACGGGGTTGGGGGCTTGACCGTGTCTTACGGGAAAGCCCCGAGTATGGAGGAAAAGTAATGCAAACGAATAGCTGTGGGAGTTCCACCAACAAGGCACCCATGCCTTGTGCTTTCCAAGAACCAATGGCAGCACCCAGACACATGCAAGATGGGTCGGCAGCAGTAGCTGAGCAGCTGGAAACAATTGATTTGAGTGAGGATCCCTCTGCCCCGAGGCCCATTTCCATAAGTGTTCATTTAACAAGTGAGGAGAGGGCGGCCTTGGTATCTTTGCTAAAGGAATTTCGAGATGTGTTCGCTTGGAGCTATGAGAAAATGCCTGGCTTGAACCCAAGCTTAGTAAGTCATACTCTGAATATTGAGCTTGGTACAAAACCTATCGTGCAGCCAAGAAGGAATTTTCATCCTGAAGTTGAGAAGCAAATCAAGATGGAAATTGAAAAGTTGTTAGCTGCCGGATTTATTAAGCCAATCAAGCATCCTACGTGGCTAGCGAATATTGTCCCTGTGAAAAAGAAAACCGGTGTGATCAGAATATGCACGGATTATCGAGACCTCAACCGAGCTTGCCCAAAGGACGAGTTCCCGCTGCCTAACATGGATATCTTAATTGATTCGACCTCGGGTCAAGGCTTGTTGTCATTCATGGATGGGTTTAGTGGCTACAATCAGATCAAGATGTCTCCCAAGAATGCCGAGAAGACAGCCTTTCGAACACCGTATGGGAATTTTTATTATACGGTCATGCCATTCGGCCTCAAAAATGCTGGCGCCACCTACCAAAGAGCTATGACAGCGGTGTTTCACGACATGATGGGAAAAGAAGTCGAAGATTATGTGGATGACCTTGTGGTGAAGTCCAAAACCAGAGAAGGCCATCAAGAAGTTTTAAGAAGAGTGCTGGAAAGGTGTCGGCTGTACGGTTTGAAGATGAATCCAAAGAAGTGTGCGTTCGGGGTTTCATCCGGTAAATTCTTGGGGTTTCAAGTACACCAGCGTGGCATAGACGTGGATCCTGAAAAAACTAAAGCCATAAATTCTCTTGCACCGCCTAAAAACCCAAAAGAATTGAAAAGCTTTATGGGAAGATTATCGTATATTCGGCGCTTTATCCCAGGTCTTGCTGCCACCATGAGTACTTTTACTCCATTGCTCAAGAAAGGCAAGCCGTATGAATGGAGTGAGAAGTGCCAAGAAGCTTACAAGAGGGTGCAACAAATAATCACCAAGCTGCCCACTATGAAAGCACCTATTCCGGGGCTCCCTCTCAAGCTTTATTTGGCTGCAACAAACACAGCGGTTGGTGCCTTACTTGCTCAAGATGATCACAGTGGGGAAGAAAGTCCTATTTATTACGTAAGTAGGCAACTAAGGGGATCTGAAGTAAGATATCCAAAAACTGAACTCTTGTGCCTTACTCTTGTTTATGCTGCACAGCGCTTGCGGCATTACTTCCTTGCTCACAAGCTACATCTCATGGTGAAGTCCGATCCCGTAAGATATTTGCTTACAAGGCCGGTATTATCCGGACGCCTTGCACGTTGGTTGCTACAACTGTCCGAGTTTGATATCACCTGCACCACCCCAAAAGCTATTAAAGGGCAGGCTGTGATTGACATGTTGGCTCTATTTCCCGAAGTTGAAGAATCAACAATATCTAAGGAAGTTCTGGGGGAGCTGCCGGAAACGGTTGCTGTTGTCACAGAGGCAGAACCATGGACCCTCTACTTCGATGGGTCTTCTACATCGAAGGGTGGAGGGGCAGGTGTGGTGCTTGTCAATCCCGAGGGGCAAACCACGGCCCTCTCGTTTAAGCTAAATTTCCCATGCACAAATAATACGGCAGAGTACGAAGCTTTTATTGCAGGGATGTCTACAGCAAGGGAAATGGGTGTCAAAAGAATTAAAATTATTGGGGATTCAAACCTGGTGCTGAGTCAATTACAAGGAAATTTCGCCGTGAAGGAACCAGCATTGGCACCATATCGTACAGCTGCTGAAAGGCTTGTTCGTTCGTTCAAACAGGTTGTGTTGGAACATATCCCGGGAGTCACTAATAGATATGCTGATGCGTTGGCCACCTTGGGGTCGAGGCTCTCATTTATTGAAGAACAGCCCAATATTGCAGTAATCAAGAAGGACATGCCAGTTGTTGAAGCAATGGCTCAAGAAGAGCAGCTGGAAGAGGATGACTGGAGGAAGCTTGTGAAAGAAAAAATTGGCAAAGGAGGCGACATCAAAGAATTGAAGGATTATGTGATCATCTTTGGGGAACTGTACAGACGCCTTCCGGGAGGTATTTTGACCCGCTGCATAGGGATAACAGAAGCACGGGAGAAGCTTCAAGAGGTACATGAGGTTACTTGCAATTTGGAGCCAATAATCAGCTTGTACCGGCGCCTGCAGCGCAAGGGTTATTACTGGCCAGAAATGAGGAAACAAGCAGCTGAAATACAAGCCAATTGTCCCAAGTGTGCAAAGATACCTTCCACCGAGGAATCATTCACCGTCTCGTTTGCGGAGGATTGGAGGGCTCCATACTTGGCATCCTCCATCAATGGAGTCTTGCCAACCAATCCCAAGCATGCACGCAAGCTCAAAAGGACAATGAAAAGATACTTCATAGATGGGTCAACTCTTTACCGTAAGGGGTTTAATGGTGAGCCATTAAAATGCTTGGGAAAGTCAGAGGCACAGCAAGTCATGCAAGAGATTCATGCTGGAGAATGTGGTGAACACCAAGGAATGAAGAAGCTTTACCGGCAGCTGCTGAGTGTTGGGTATTATTGGCCTACAATGAAGAATGATGCATACGACTTTGTGAAGAGGTGTCACACATGTCAAGTTCATGCCAATTTAAGTCATAAGCCTCCCACGCTGCTGCAAGACATGCGCACTCCTTGGCCCTTTCATACTTGGGGGCTTGATTTGATCGGGACTATCCATCCACCATCCGACAGCTACATATGGATCCTCACGGCCACCGAATATTTCACAAAGTGGGTAGAAGCGGTTCCCTTGCGGAAGGCCACGGGAGCTGCCGTTGCCAATTTCATCCGTGAAAATATTGTATGTAGATTTGGGATCCCATACAAGGTTGTCACCGACAATGGCACCCCGTTTGTCAATAAGCAAGTAAGCTCGACACTTAGTGGTTATGGTATCAAGCATCGTCGCTCCACGCCTTATTATCCACAAGGAAATGGTCAAGCGGAAGCCACAAACAAGACTTTATTGAGGATCCTAAGCAAAATGGTTTATGAGTATGAAGGAGGTTGGAGTGTTCACCTGCCGGATGCTTTATGGGCTTACCGCACCTCTTCGAGAAGTGCCACAGGTTTCTCGCCATATTCACTTGTGTACGGGTCCGATGCCATTTCACCAGTAGAGATTACCATCCCCACTGCCAGAATAGCAGCTGTTAACGACCTCGAATGGGATACAAAGTCATGCTCAGAATGGCGCCTGCTGGACCTTGAAGCTTTGGATGAAAAAAGAGCGGTAGCCGAAAAGAGGACAGCGTTGTACCACAGAACTGTAGCTCAAGCCTATAACAGGACAGTCAAGCCTCGCGCCTTCAAGCAATGAGACCTCGTGCTAAAAGTTGTGGAACATGTGAGAAGACAGGTGTCGGGACCTTCCAAGTTTGCGCCACAATGGGAAGGCCCGTTTGCAGTCAAAGAGGTTCACAGCAGCGGCTATTATCGCTTGGTCTCTGTCAAGGAAGGCACGCTGACAGACCCCGTCAATGGGAAGTGGCTCAAGCTCTATTACTGCTAAGTTAACTTTATGCCTAGTACTTTTGTATTTTCTCTCTGTCAAAAAAAAATAGACTCCTTCTGTCTTATTTTCACGTTTTGAAAAAAAGACACTTTTGTATGATGCACCATTATGGTAGCAAGGGCTTTTGCAATGAGAATGAAGGAATATTTTGAAAAAAATATATATTGTGTCTCCAAAACTTTACTATTATTAACCCTTTATCAAATTTTCCATATCTATATATATATATATATATATATAAACATGCTACTTAGTAGTAAAACATGCCGGGCAAAGTCACTTAGATGGGGTCCCCAAGCATCACGCTTAAGCAAAAAAAATAATAGCATAAGGCATGTTGCAAAGAAACATGCAATTTTGAGATGCTGGAACAATACGATACAACACCTGGAAGCTTTATAGAGCCCTAGTAGAAATCATGCACATATTGGTTCGACCCTTTGGGAAAGGTGGGAAGCTATTTTGTCAAGCTTAGAATCTAGATAAGCCATGCAAAAGAAACTTTCGAAGATTTCGCTTCTGTTAAAAAATTTCGACAGCATATACCCTGTTTTCAATGATATCCAACCTGTCAGAAAATTTCAAGCAGTCCATAAAGACAACTTTGGCCAACAAAGCAGTACATATATATATCTACACAGGAAATATGCAACATGCCTCAAGCATTCGGAAATTCATACAAGCTTCAGTAGTTTAATATCAAAATTACAAAGGCATAACGACGTAGTCGTTAGAGTCTAAAAAAAAACAACACTACAAACAAAGCAAAATAAAACTGCATATGCTGAAGGTTCACGCGCCCTTAAGTCACAAAGAAAGCAGGATCATGTGCCAAGCCAAATGGCCTCCAAGCTAAGGATGGGCAATCTGCAAAAGATAAAAGAAAATGTGTGTCAAAAATAGCTGCTGCTGGAATACGTAAATAAAAAAATAATAATAATGGATGAGCTGAGTACCTGTAGGCTATGGGGAATGTCCGAAAAGAACAAAGGAAGCCCCAGGAGATAATCTGGCCGCTGCCTCCGTCACGCACTCAGCGCTGTCAACAGAAATACCCTTAGCAAGAAGAAGGGCATGCATCTCCCGGCGCTGGTTCTCCAACTCCTGTTGTTTAATATTCAAGGCATCTGCAGCAGCTTTTACTTCATCAGAATCATGCGATAATTGCATACTACGAATGGCCCGTGCTCCAAAGACGGCACGTGCTAAGCTCTTCA